TCATAAAGATACATCTTTACTCTTAACACGGTCATAACGTAAGTCAGAATAAAGTCTGAACTTTTGATTAGATTGTGAAACGTTCTTATAATAGCAGTGATACCCTCATTTCAGGCAGTGCCAGGCACGTTTTTGACATTTGTTCTTTTCGTGGTATTTTACGTGACCAGCTCTTACTACTTGGGAAGAAGAAAGAGTGGTACCATTATAACTTAGCATATTTTAAAGATCCACAGTTTATAGCTTTCCTAACTCCTTTATTGTAGTTATTCACTGACGTATTTCCATACCAAATGTTCTCTTTTATGATTCCTTAAGCTTAAAAATTATTGCTTATACCTTGAGGGGAATTGGATCATTTCTGTTTTGCATTGCACTTGAGTAATGCTTTGAGTTGAATATTCTGAGGGTTTTAAAATTAAGTTAATCCATATGTAATTAGGGAAGTTCTTAACTAGACAGTCTTGGTTAGCAGGAGATTGGCAGATTATTCTGAAAATCTAGCAAACCGTGAATAGCAATTAAATGAGAAAAGGCAAAATTTCTCTTGAACATGGGTTGCTGCCACAATTTACTGTGGCAATATGATTTTCTATTTTTAATTGCAGTAGACAATCTTATAAAGAATTTTGCCTTATGAAAGCTACATAGTTCCATAATTTTCAGCCGCTTATGCTTTTTAACACTTTAGTGAGTATTTTGCCCTGGCCATCTCTTTTGATTCATGATGAATAAAAGACACTAAAGTCAGTAAAGATAGTTTCGTACCTCCCAGACACTTCGAGACAAAATGAGTATCTTGGAGAAACTAAGTTCTTCTCTTTGTGAGATGGTATAACTTTATGTAATTTTTTATACTTTTTTTCACACAGTGCTTTTATTCTCAGAACAATTATACTTAACATCGATACTTGAAAGTACTCCTTCTTAAATTCAAATAATGAAGACTTTGCTCCATATTCCATTCCCATATCGGGATGCAGGGAGGGGTTGAACGTGCTAAAGGCGTGATTCTTCCTTTTTCCCTCCCTGCACTCCGAGTACTGAACGCTCTCTGTAGTACCCTACTCGTTTCTTCATTTGCACGGGCCCTTTCGGAAGGAGTTTATGACAGTGCCATCTCGTCGTAAATAACAGTGAGTCCCAGTCCACTGCGGAACGGCTGGAAACCACCCATATCACTTAAAAGTACATTGTCTTTCATCTTTCAGTCAGTATGAAAATACACAGGAGGCGATTTCTTCAGTCAAATGCACAAGACTAATCTCTAGGCAATTCATCTCACAGTAGAAAATACTTAAATGTCAAAAAAGGCAATATGTACTTCTCAAACCCCGCACGCCTGTGGCAAACATGTTGGAGAAGTGCGGAAACCTGGCGTTATTGGCATAGGTTTTGGAGGAGCCGACACTAAGATTTGCACCTAACTAAAATTTATTAATACTCTTGTCATTACACAAAGCATTCGTTCTTATTACAGTTTCCCACGCTGTGTGTAGGTGAGAGGTTCTGTCCGGTCCAGAGTAGAGCCTGGGGAGGACAGAGGCAGCAGGAGGCCCTAGTTCTCCAGCGCTCCCAGTGTTCTGGGAACACAGACACGCTTTTATGTATTGTTTTAAATTACCGGGGGTTTCCAAAGTGTCACCAGAGTGAAACAAGCGAAGATAGAAGCAGTGGGTTACTTCTCTGCTTTTCCCTGGCTTTTCTCTTCGCTGCTCTGCACCCCTGCTTGCAAAACCACCAGATCAGCATGAACAATTAACTGTCTAATTATTCCGGTCACACCAGCCCACAATGAAAGCTTTATTCCGTGTTTACAGCGATCTCTGGCAGGGGCTGTCTTGCTGTTTCTAAACTAAGAAGAACTGCCCTTTGGCTCCTCTCAGCATCAGCTGCCTTGATTTCAGCCTTGGATGCCAATAATCAGACTTCTTTTTCTTCCAAAGTGGACATTTATTTTTTAGGGTGAAAAGACCTATTCTCATCACCCTCCATATATTCTGGCTGATTTATGTTCTGGCCACTGCAGCTCTTCCTTCCGTATCGCTGTACGTTTTTCCTCTGTCCATAGAACACCACCAGGCAAATCCCCATTCTGAGTCCAAAATCGGAAAAAACGCTTAACCAAACAGTGCTCACCACTATGAGGGAAAGAGAAACACAGCCCCTGGTTTATGGGTAAGGGAAGTCAAGGAAATCCCTCCTGCTTTTCTAAGCTGCTCATTTTCTAGCTCAAAAGGCATTCAATAACTTCTCCACCAGGGGAGAACATATTCACTTTTCAGTGGCTCTCTTGATTACTTCCAACTATTTAGTCAAATTCGCCAACAGCTGCATGTCGTGGAGGAGCGTCCGAGGTGGGGAGTGTTTACCAGTGTGTCAGGGGCTGAGAGACCATGTCTGAGCATCTCCGAGATGGCAAGGGAGGACTGCCACGCCGCAGGGACCGGGGCAGACCAGGACGGAGCAGTCCACACCAGTGCACACCAGTCCGAGGGCGCGATGGAGGCAGTGCCTTCAGCACAGGGAACATACCTTGGTTGGCCCTCCTTGAACCACCTGATCGAGTCCCCTCCTTGGGTCTGAGAGGTGATGGCAGCCAGTGCTGGGTCCCATTGCTTTACAAGCTCGACTGTTTTTTTCCCCAGAAGAACATTTTCCTGCTTTGCAGGGGTGATGCATCTTTCTTTCTATTCCAGTCTCCAAACCCTCTGTGACTGTTCCCCTAACAACCCTTTGCTCCTGCCTCTCAGCCCCAGCACTTACTACTTTTGCATTGCCTTTCCTGTGAGAACTGGGTCATAAAATTTTACAGGGCAGAAAGGTAGAAGGGGGCGTTTCAGCAGTACACACACTGATTAAATTCCCAGGCAACTCGCCCCAAATGGAAGATAATTTTTGTACAAGTATGCACAAGCATGTCAAGAACGCTGTCATTTTTATGTTTGTGCTTTTCCATTTTAATTTTACACTTGCCACGTGGGACACAGGCTAAAAATACATCTCCTTAACCTGCAGAGTAGCAAACTTTTCACAAAACATTTTACAAAGTGCATTTTATAGACTGCTCTTCCCCAGGATGCTCCAGGTGTTTTGTGGGGATACAAAATTAGATCATCTGATGACATCCAACCTGTTGGAAAGGTGTGGCTTAGGTAGCCACATACCTAGGGCACCTAGGCTGGTGCCCTGACAAATAGGGGAAGTCGGCGCTGAAAAGCAAAAGTCACACTGCAGGTCAGTGGCAACAGCCTAGGTAAACCCTGAGACGGATCCCAGTTTATATCATTTCTGCTCGCTCCTCCTCAGTTGTCTCTCTTTTTCCTCGGGCAGGAAGGGATCTGGCCAGTAAGGAGGCTTGACCTCACCTTCTATGCTGGTTTAAGTAACACTCTGTTCTCCCACACTCTTGCCCTATTTTCTGTGCCATCCACTGGCCAAGCCTGGACCCTGGACAAGCTCTGACCAGGGGCCAAGGCCCGAGGAGGCAACTGCAGGTGCCCCTGTGGCTGCCTGCAGTGTTGGGAAGTGAAGCCTGCCCCTCCCCAGTAACATGCCCTGGGAGACTGGGAAGGTCCCACTGGGAGAAACCTGAATGTCCAGGTGGCAGGGTACATGAGAGGAAAAAGCTGGGTCAAATATGGGGTTCAAGACTGGCAGTGCCTTCACGGTTCCCAGGCCAGATGAGGCCGAGGGAGGGAATCAGATGGAAATGTCATTTTCATCTGTGGCCTCCGGGGAAGCACAGGGACACAGTTGTGACTTTTTGGTGTTTTTACTGTTTTTAGGTGGACCCCACTCCTTAGCTGGGCCCCTGGTGTTGCCACATCTCTGAGGGGGTACTTTCCTTTGGTGGAGAGATGTATCAGAAACCAGAGGGTGTCGGGGGTCAGTTTATTTGGTGAGGGGCAGACTTCGTTTCCAGGCCACCTACAACATTCAGCAAACAAAATCCTTCCTGACATTCCTGCCAATAACAACACCGATAGCATTACTAATAGTGATGATAATGCCAGTAATAATGAAACAGAAAACTCTGAGTCTGCCAGGCGACCAACCCCCCCACTGCTCCGCTTCCAGCCCTCTTACTCCCTGTCCGGCCTCCGCAGAAAAAAAAAGCTCTGGCGCTGCCTCCCGGCTGCCCTCCAGGTTCTAGCCCCCACCCCACCCCGGAGGTGGAGAACCAGGCAGAGGCTCCAGCCTAAGTACAGCCCACAGTCTCTCCGTTTGCTAACGGCCAGTTGGGATTCCGTGATAGCGTTTCCTTGAGAAATCTGCAACTTTCACCAGATCCGACACCCTCGCTGCCCCCTGAGCCCCCCCCCCCCCCCCCCCCAGTTAAAAAGTGCAAAGCTCAAACAACCCGCCCTGCAATCCAGCAATTCAGAGCGTTCCCGGCGAGTGTCAGGGCCCGAGACAGGAAATCCGGGGAGTTAGCGATGTCCGGCAGGTGGTGGGGACACAAGGCACCACCACATTCTTCCCCTACAGCCTAGCTCGGGTGGGGGCGCGGCGCTAGGCACGGACGGGAGCCGGACCTGTGGGCTCCGGTGCATCCCGGTGCGAGGGACTAGGCAGACCCTGTTTGGTTGGCAGCCGGAGGGAGGCGCCACTGCCCGCGGGGCAAACGAGGGCGAAGCCCGGCCGAGCGCCCTGCGAGCTGCGCTCTTGGGTACTCCATCTCCCTGCCCTGGCACGCAGCTCCTGCTGCCAGTGCCCGAGTCCTCTGCCAGCCCCGCTGTGTCCCAGCTCCCCGCCCCCAGAGAGCAGCTCCCCAGTACAGACAGTCCCTTCGCGTCCCCTTCTCCCCCAAAGTCCGAGGAAGTGTAACTCCCACCGGTGCTCAGGCTCCCCGCAGCGGCGGCGGGTATTTGCAGGGAGAGCGCGTCGCAGGGCTGGACCGCGCGCAGAGCCCGGGGACGACTTCCCCGAGAGGGCGGGTTCCAGCACGCGGAGCCCGGGGACAGACGCACGGGGCCGACCCGATCTCTCCGCTTTACCTGGCTCAGCGGCGACTCTCCGGGGACGTTCGGTCCAGACTCCTCCGGGGCGGGCGTCCAGCTCACATCGCTGCCTCCCCCACTGTGCGGCCGGTGTCCCGCTGGGTCCTTTCGCCCCGGCTCACAGCACTGCCCCCACCCCCCACCCCCCTACCCCCTCCGTCAAAAGTGTCACAGCTTTTCTGCCTCCGGATCTTTTGCAAAGTCTCCTCTCGGTCACCAGGAGTTGGGCGGCAATGCAGGGGCGCTGACCAGCGATGCCCTGCCCCGCCTTCCCGGGGCCCCCTGTGCTGGGCCCGGCCGGGGAGAACAGCCACCTCCTCTCGGTCACCGTCCCCGGAGCGCAGCGCCGCGCGGTCCGCTTCTCGACCCTCGCGCCTTCCCTAGTCCGAGTGGCTGCCGCCTGCCTGTGCCTCGGGTCCTCATTCCCCTGCTCATGAATATTCTGACAGAGGCTAATGCCGGTGAAAATTGAATTAGCCAATTGGGGCCAGCAATGTGCGCTCTTTCCTCCGGAGAGCTGCCTGGAACACCACCAGAAGAAAGCAATTAGCGTCCGGTTGGCACCCTGTGGTTTAGACCAGCGAGGGGCAAAATGGGTTAATTCTTTAAATGCAGTTTAGATACCGCATTCAAATGCTAAAACCCCTCTATTGGCTGAGAGAGTAAGGAAACGTTCAGAGGGAGAGAGAGGAAAGGGGGTAGGCAGGCTTGCTGGAGGGGGCGGGGTGGCGTAGCTACACCCAAACTCCCTGAAATCGAAGTGCCGTACTCCGGGTAGATTACGGGTTCTGGCAGAGGCAGCTGATGAGAACTGAAATAGACAGGATCAGAAAGGATGCCAGCCTAGGTTTAACCTTGACCTTGAGGAAGCAGAGGACTGTAATGAATTTTCAAGAGGAAGGGTGAGGAGAGATGGCAGAGAGAGAAGAATAAACCGGTCATGGATCTACTTTTAAGAATTTCACAAATCATAACAAAACTATAGCGTTTTAGGCCTTTGGGTGAAGCAGGGTCGGAGCGGAGATGCCAGGAAGGTCAGAAGCTACAGAGGAGGAAGCTGAGGTCACCGTGGTGAAGCGGCTTCCTAGTCAGCAGTGACTGAGAGGGCCACCCTAGGAGGCGTTTCCAACTAGCGCCTGGCCTTTTCCTGACCCCATTCTGGGGTCAAACAGACAAGGTCGACAGGGGGGACAGTTTCTCTCTGGTCTTGCCGCCTGCCTCAGAATGCCAAGTCCTTTAGTCGTTGATTACAGCTCAGCTTTGGCCAGCGGGTGGGGAGCGACTCTGCCCAGCCCTGCATCCTCACCTCCCTTTATGATCTTCACACGGTGCTTTAGGGTCTCCTCTCCCATCACCGATTCTCTAAACACGGGCAACTGTTCTGATTGAATTGCTTGGTGGCCAAATGATCTCCGTGGATAAACAACTGATAAAGCTTTGAGTGTAAGTAACTGCTCCAATCCTCTCCCGTGTGCCAGTAGAAACAAATATCCTAGTGAAGGCAATTGTATCATATTTTAATAAGTTTTAGAAAGGTCTAGAATCGACACTCATAGTTATCACAGTAATTACTAATATTAAAACAGCTAATGTTTATTGAGAACTTGTTATGTGACAGACATGCATTACATGAGTCATCTCATTTAATCTTTCCAACTACTACTGTATTCAAATATATTATTTCCCCATTCTCAGAAACAGAAGTAGTGTGTCCAGGTCACCTAACTTGTAAGTGGTGGAGATGAATTTTGACCCAAACCAGCCCAAGCAATATACCAGAGCCTTCAGGTGACCAGCAGCCCATACGGCCTCCTTATCCAAGAAGAGAACCAGTTTCTTGGTGTTTGGTTGAAGTGACTTGTCCTTGATGATTAATTTCTTATTGCAATTTAGAAGAAAAAAAGATTTGGGGGGAGAATAGTATGATTAATTTTATGTCTTAATTTTTATTGGGCCACAGTGTGCCTGCATATTTTGGTCAAACATTATTTTTGAGTGTTTCTGTGAAGGCGTTTTTGAACGAGATTACCATTTAAATGGTGGAGTAAGGAAAGCAGATTGCCCTTCCCATGTGGTGGGCCTCATTCAATCAGCTGAAGGCCTGAATAGAACAAAAAGGCCAGTCTCCCCTGAGTAAGAGGGAATTCTCCCTCCCGATGTCTTAGAAATGGAACTTGTTACTTCCATAATTGCATGAGCCAGTTCCTTATTCTCCACCTCCTGTTAGTTCTGTTCCTCTGGAGAGCCCTAATACAGATGGATACCTCCAGGAAATACTACTATTTTTGTCTGAATATTTTCATCTCCCATCACATTGTCTGGTACATAATATGTGATAAATATACATTTATACTTAAGATTTTCCGGACCTATTATCCTATTATTAAGAGGGAAGGAACAGATATAATATGTATAAATATATTTTTAAAAGGTCTGTCCAGAAAAAGTCTAGCCATTGTTAATATAACAAGAACAGTTTGCATGACATCCATGTAACCTGGCAGCCAAGGAGAATGGACTGGAATGTGCGTGTGTCAATAGTGACGACTCCACTGTCCTGGTCAGTGGGGACAGTGGATGCTCTTAAATGAGCAAGTGTACTGTGTGGCCGTCACATTCAAAATGACTGGGTGAGGAGAGCTATGAATCTGCATCAAGGTTTGTGTTAAGCTTGAATGTTGCCGCGTGGAAACTATTCAGAGGATCTGGAAGGCCGCAGCCGTGCGTAACTGGTGATGGGCAGCTTCATGACAACACGCCTGCTTGTGCATCACGTCTCCTGCAGAATTTTTTTGTGAAACATCAAATCACCCAGGTGGTTTAGCCCTGCTACAGCCCAGGTTTGGGGCCCTGCAACTTTTGCATTTTCCCCAAACTAAAATCACCTTTGAAAGGGAAGAGATTTCAGATCATCCATGAGATTCAGGAAAACATGGCAGGGCAGCTGATGGCGACTGGGAGAACTGTGTGAGGTCCCAAGGTGCCTACTTTGAAGGGGACTGAGGCGTCATTGTCCTGTGTACAATGTTTCTTGTATCTTCTTCAATAAATGTCTCTTTGTTATGTAGTATGTGGCTGGATACTTACTGGACAGACCTCATCTTGTGCGTGTGGAAAGAGATATCAAATTTGAATGAAATTTTATCTTTGAAGAATTAAAAAATGGACTACAGTGAAGGGGCTTAAAGCAGTATTTCTAGATATTATATGAGGGGAGAAATTTTACTATTACAATGTCAGGGGTAAAAACTGATTGGGTTCAATCTCTGATTTCAACAGTAGTTGAATACCTACTAAATGCAAGACACATTTCTGTTCAAATGTTTTCTACTGAAGTTCACATTCCAATCACTTAAAACAGTTGAGGATATGCCATATTTTATTCTCTGAAACTTTGGGTAGTGTAAACCCCTTTGTTAAAAAAAAAGTTTGTACTGTTTTATCCCATTGTTAAATATTTATAATGTTCCCCATCGCGATTCCTCCCTTACAAGGCTCTGTTGGGTCCTTCTTTTAAGGAGGATATCCTCTTAGGATTTGGAGGCATCACTGCACAGAAAGGTCTTCAGATGTCTGAGTGTTTCTGTCTGTGAACATGCTAACATGTGCTCCAGAGTCTGAGTGGACACTGTGGGGAGGGCCACTGGAGTGGGCAGTGGGGTGCTGGCTCTGGGCGGGCGTGGGGCATGGGGGGGCAATCTTGGACAAGCCAGTCACCTTTGGAGCGAACCGAGTGAGCGTCCCTGCCGAGTGCAGGTAACAATGGTACCTATCCGCTGGGTGCTTTTGTGCTTACATTTCGCTCTCCTGCCTGCTGCGTGTTGCATCCTCCTGGTAACCCAGCTAGTGCGGCGTGTTATCCATATTTAATTGGTGAGGAGTGTCAGGCTCACAGAGATTTAGTAACACGCAGAGCTTCTCCTCGGAACAGGTAGAACAGGAACTTGAATGACAGCGTCACCTTCGCAGAGGCCATCTGTGGTGTCTTCCTCTAGCCACACCTCCCCGCATACACCTCTTTGTCCAGTAGAGACACAGTGCGCTCTTTAACGTCCCCTTGGGATTTCTAAGATGTGTAAAGAAGTGATTAGAACACAATGTGTAGTCTCGATCACTAAACAAAACTGAAGCTAGGAACCTTGTCTGAATCATTTTTGTACCCCCAAATTTAGGCTTGTGGGAGGCACTTAGAAAGCCCACTGACACCAGTTCTGCACAGTCCAAAAACAAATCCCATTGACTTTATTGGGCTGTTAGGATTAAATGAAATAGTTGGCAGGTGCTTTGGAAATGTTAAAACACCATGTAATGATATTATTATTTTTACTGTTCAAAAGTAATTTAGAAATAAATATAATAATTTTAGCTTTGACCTTGGACATAAATTCTATGGGTAAGAAAGCAGTTTGATCATTTCTCTCAGCTACTGTTATTTAGAAGATGGATGGGTGACCCTTGCTCAAATAATAGTTATCTGGTTAACAGCCCTAAACTGGCCCATTAAGCAGAAGGCACGAGTCAGAGAAAGGCGAGTGTGTGTGGGCGCGCACGCACCTGTAGAATCTTTCTGCAGGTTAAGACTGTTTTCTGTGAATGAGTGGCGTCAGCTGCTGGTATTCCCATGCTTCTCTAAGGGAGGGGTCTGCTTGTCCTCTGTGGGATGACCTTTATTAAGAACTTCCAAGGTCACAGTGTGAACAGCAGAGCTGTGGCTCAGGACCCTGTTCTGAGTACCTCACTCTGACCCTGGCCGGCAGCCGCTGCCCGTCCGGGGTGGTTTCTGGTTTTACAATTGAGCCGAGCAATAAGCAGCTCAATACCTCGTCATAATTAGTCTTCTGAGTCAGCTAATACCCTTGTCATGCAATTTCATGATCTATATTATTCAGTATTATCCATTCAAGATATTTTTGGATTTGTAATGATAATTATTTAGTAGAACTGATGACAAAGACACACTAAAAATACTTTGTGGCTTCATGGCGTGTGTCTTTACCATGAATATTCATAATGGAACAGTTCTTTTGGTTAAAAATATACGCACATTCACAAACTCGGGAATTCCTGTTGAT